AAGCCACCCATCCACCTGAGCATCCTCATCTCTGCAACACTCAACTTAATATTATGCTTCTCTCTTAATGGCCAACATTCTGCACCATAAAGCATTGCAGGTCTCACTACCATCTCATAGAATTTTCCCTTAAGTTTGAGGGGGACTTTTCTATTAATAATATCTCCATCTTATAGAATTTTTTTCTTTTCTACTAATAATATCCCTATCTATCACACAACAAGCCCGATGTATTCATCCACTTCAACCATCCAACTTGAATTCTACTACTAATATTCCCATCTATTTCACTATCACTTTGAACAATAGACCCAATATATCTATAAGACATGTACACTTATCAATGAATTGATCGCCCAAAGTCATAATCCCCCCATTAGAGCTATTACTACTAAAATTATACTTAATATATTTAGTTTTAGATATACTCAAACAAGACCCTTTAGTAAAGGTTGACCTCCTTAATTCAAGTGTACATTCAACTCACTCTCTAGTTTTATCAACAAGAAGAATATCATCAGCAAAAAGCATACACCAGGGTACAACTTAAATGTCTAGGGAGAACATCCATGACTAAAGTAAAAAAGATATGGGCTTAAGGTTGATCCTTGATGTAATCCAACTGAAATTGGAAAATGCTTGGTCAAACCACCTTGTGTTTAAAACACAAGTAATAGCTCTTGCACACATATCCTTAATAACTTGAACATAAGCATTATTAACCCCTTTCTTTTCTAGAATTCTCCATAGCACTTCTCTTGGAATTTTATCATATGCTTTCTCTATATCCATAAATATCATATGTAGATCCTTCTTATTCTCTCAATACTTCTCCATCAAACTTCTCAATAAATGTATAACTTCCATGGTAGATCTGCTCGACATGAATCCAAATTGATTTTGAGAAACATTAATATCACGTCGTAATCTATGCTCCATAACTCTATCTCATAATTTTAAAGTATGTCACATTAATTTAAAACCTTTATAAATTGTGTAATATTGTGCATCATCTTTATTCTTAAAAATAGAAATCAACACACTCATTCTCCACTCATCTCGTATTTTTATTAGTTTTCAAAATAATATTAAAAAGTTTTGTAAGCCAATAAATTCCTTCATCTCTTAAGCATTTTCACACCTCTATTAGAATATCATCAGGTCCAATAGCTTTTTTACACTTCATTTTCTTTTTTTTTTGAAGCCTCTCTAACTTCAGTTTTACTAATACACCGATAAAAATAAAAGTCTTTATTTTTATTTAGGGTGTTAAGATCACTAAAATCAATCTCATTCTCATAGTCTTCATTAAAATGTTTAGCAAAATAGCTCATCCACCTTTGTTAAATATCCTATTCTAATAAAAGCCTTTTTTCTCTTCATCCTTAATACACTTCAACAACAACAACAACATCATCAAGCCTTAATACACTTCATTTAAACTAAATCCTTACTACGTTTATCTCTTTGTTTGGCTAAGTTATAAATATATCTTTTGTCCTCCATAGTATCTAATCAATTATATAAATCATTATAATAAAAAAATTTACATCACATATAACTTTCTTAAACTCCTTACAGGACTTTTAATAGCTTTCCCAATCATCAAAGTTTTTATATCTAAATCAATTTTTATAACAAAGATTTTACTTTGATCTTTACTTGCACATTTTTATTCCACCAACTTTTAGTATTATTAGGAGTTTTTTCCTTTGATACTCCAAGCACATCCTTTGCAGTATTCTTAATATCACTAGCTATTTTTTCTCACATAACATTAGCTTTTTGATGCACAAACAAAATCTTAAGATCAAGAATCTTACCCTAAAAAAATATTTTTTTAATATTTTTAAATGACACTATCTAATCCTAGAACAACTTTTTATTTTATTTTTTATGTTTTGCCCTTTGATCTTAAAGTCCAAAACTAATAAGTGATCTTTGTTACTTAAGCTTTGATTTAGAATAACTTTATAATCTTTGCAATCTAAATGATATATTTTTCTTATAAGGAAATAATTAAGCTGAATTTTACTAGATTCATTTTTATAAGTGATGAGATACTAAGCTCTTTTCTTAAATAAGTTATTAGTAATTATAAAATCATAACAACAACAACAACAACAATAATAACAACAAGCCTTTGTCCCACTACGTGGGGTTGGCTACATAAATTATTTTTCGCCATTGTGTCTTGTTAAAAGTCAAATTCTTATTTAAATCTAAATATTTAATAAAGAAAGATCATTTCTAATATTTTCTAACCAAGTCTTTTTAGGTCTACCTCTACCTTTCTTAATATAAGTCAAATCTAATACCTCAACTTTTCTAACCGGGTTATCGGAAGACCTTCGTTTAATGTGACCAAACCATCTAAGGCGACTCTCTCTAATCTTATCTTCCATTGGAGCTACTCCAACCTTTTCACGTATATTCAATAGATCGATGGAATAAAATATTCCCCCATTCAATTTCTTTCAAATTTCTTTATGATATTAGAGCGAGATGGGGCCTTTCTCTGCAACTAGTATCCTTTGACATCACTTAGCCTAACTCTTCTTGCATCACGATATTTATCATTGATGTACAGGCCTTCTTGATGTTGCCTTCGAACAACGGTCTCAACCAGGAGCAGCGAGACTTTGGTCTCCTCTCTTGAGATTACTATGCACCGCTACTTCTAGCCATCTTCCACCCTATTAATCTTGTATATCAGCTTCACCTTAAACAACTCATTTAAAACACTCCCATAAATCGAATCTTATGCAAGCTCAGTTGGCCTCCACTTGATGAATGTTATTCCTTAAGATTACATCTTCTTGTTAGATCATGGATGAGTTCGTGTGCCTTATCAGGAAGAGTGTCAATTTGGATCATTGTCCTTACAACATTGCTAAAGGTTCCTTCTTTGCCTTATGTTGGTTTCTCACCAATAGAAAGAACAAGATCTACCCAATCTTCATGATTCTTGCTTATGCAAGAAAAAAAATTATGAAGACCCTAATTTAGCAAGCATACTAAATGTCTTCCTAGAAAAATAAGAAAATACATTTTTTAATAAAAAAAAAATAATACATAACAAGGACATTTAGAATATAAAACAACACCTAAAGATGCTTTTACATTGCTTGAGAAGAAAGATACAAATGACATGGAACTTGCGGAGAAAAGAAAGAGATAAGAAGTCCGAAACGAAAGAGAGGACAAGCTCGCAAGCTTTCCCATGAAGGAGAAGAAGAATGGAACAAGCTCGCAAGCTTTTCCAAGAAAAACCCTCAGGTTTTTGGCTTCCAAAAATTAGTTCATAAACTCCTTTTATGTTTACAAAACATCACATATATATAGGAGAAAAAGAGCAGCCAATAAGCCCAAAATACCCCAAATTAAACCAATCAAACAAGGGGAAATAGAAAGCCAAGGGGATGTCC